GCCTTCATGTAGTTTTAATAACTACAGACTTCTTATGACAGTAGCTATATTTTTAGATTGCTTACTTCTTGAAGTAAAAGAGCCTTTGTTTAATAAAAATAAAGGTTTTTTTTTTTTTTTCTGGAGTAATTGTATGTATATATAACTATATATAAATAACATGATCTTGCATATTAAAGAAAATCGCTCACTGAGGTTGATCGTTTCTTACACCGCCATGCTTTGTTGGCCAATTTATGACTTACTGATAGTTGCATTAAAAACAAAAACAGAAAATCTGATCAACAGTTGTACAATCAATAAATGTACGAAGGTTAGGCGAAGTAGGATTATCGTGATGGAAAGATAACAAATGAAAAATGCTCACAATGTTGTAGGCTCACTATAAACTCCACAAGGAGTGATCTCCAGAAAGAGATCCTTCCTCAGTGGTAGTCAACACTTATATGGGATCTAGGGATCTGAAGTCACCGTAGCCTGAAGTCACTGTAAAGGTGTAAGCCAATAAGCAGCAACTGAATAAACAATTTCTGGCTTAAATACAGTCATGACTTGCAGCCATAAATAGAAAAAACAAGCAGAAAAAAACCCTAAAAAAAACAACCCACAAGAAGTGTAGGCCTGTGCTCTCACGGCTGACTCATTGCTTGCCTCAGGTGATCAATCAGACGTTCAAGCTGTGATCAGCAGTTCCCATACAACAGTGTAATCCTAATCCTTAATGTTTTTATTAAACAAAATTAAACAAAGAGCTAATACGTTCAAAAAATACTTTAAACACTGTACATTTTAAAGCCATATGTCATTCTCTTTTGGTAATTTGTTATATAAATTCTGAAAGAAAAGTTGTTGCCAGCTTTGTCTGGGATTTTGACTTGCAGCTTTCGCAGTCTGGTTTATTCATGGCCTTGCTACTGTAGGAAGTAATTTTGAGCGTTTCAATTTATTCATCTTTTAGTGAAAAAAAATAACATCACAGATCAAGGCTCTTTACTGTAGTGATGCCAAGATCAGATACAGTAAGCAGTCAAATTTTGGTGGCCTGGAGCTGTAAAGCAGTTTAAATGAGGCAACATAAACCTGCTAATTCAAATAGCTTGCTGTACTTGAATTAGTTCATTGCTTATAAATCAGGTGTCTGCTGTATTTTTTATGGAGTGTAAAGTTAGAATCATAGAATGGGCTGGGTTTAAAAGGACCACAGTGATCATCGAGTTTCAACCCCCTGCTATGTACAGGGTTGCCAACCAGCAAACCAGGCTGCCCAGAGCTACATCCAGCCTGGCCTTGAATGCCTCCAGGGATGGGGCATCCACAACCTCCTTGGGCAACCTGTTCCAGTGTGTCACCACCCTCTGGGTGAATAACTTCCTCCTAATAATTAATCTAAACCTCCCCTGTCTCAGTTTAAAGCCATTCCTTATCCCTTGTCCTGTCACTATCCACCTTTGTAAACAGCCATTTCCCCTCCTGTTTATAAGCTCCCTTCAAGTACTTCAAGGCCACAATGAGGTCTCCCCGGAGCTTTCTCTTCTCCAAGGTAAACAATTCCAGTTTCCTCAACCTTTCTTCATAGGAGAGGTGCTCCAGCGCTCTGATCATCTTAGTGGCCCTCTTCTGGATCTGCTCCAAGAGCTCCACATCATTCCTGTACGGGGGGCCCCAGGCCTGGATGCAGTACTCCAGATGGGGCATCACAAGAGCCGAGTAGAGGGTACAGTCACTTCCCTCTCCCTGCTGGCCACCCCTTTTTTAATGCAGCCCAGCTCAGTGTCCTGAAATATCTATGAAAATAGAATAGCATTTAAAAGAAAATTAGAGAGCCAAGGGGAATTTTTACCCACTAAGATGTGTATATTATGGCACAGTCTATTAAAATTAAGGTACCTTCTTTATCATATGTCAAAGTTAGTATTTCAATGGTCTTTCACAGTGTTTTTCTTTTTTCTTTTTCTTTTTTTTTTTTGTAGTAAATGCATTGCAGAAAATAGTTCATTTTAAATTACGAGATAGTGATTCCAAGTGAATCTTTTTATTTCAATAACAAACACTTCAGACATTTTCTCTCTAATGTGGCCCACTCAAAATCATATTCTGGCATATCTGTTGCTCAGTTGTCGAATCACCCAATCTCCAACACTCCCATGTATAGCAAGGAATGCTTTTAGCTCAGTTCTGTGACTTTTCCAGCTTCTGAATATGGTACAGCTTTGCCTATACCAGGAGTTTGCAAAATCACCTGGTTGCAAATAGAAATCAAGTTTTCTTATGGCTGTCAAGTGTTGTGAATTTTTGCATAACAATTACAAACTCAGCTTACTCGTCTGTCTGCTGTTTTGTCTTGATTTTTAGACATCCAGCTAAGTTGTAAACAGACTGGTGCTAAGTTTCTTGTTTATTTTAGATATTGCATGTTGCTTTGATGCCAGTCGGAGAAGGAAGATCTTACCTCTGATCTAGTTTCTGATATTTGCAGCTGTTATGGAGTGATGTGCAGAAGCTGGTGGGAGAGAAGATTTGGTGAAGAGCTTCAGCACCAGCAAGAATGAAAGGATCAAATACTAGCTAGAGGTTGCCTGTTCCTGCCCCTACCATTCTGTTCCTCACCCATGGTATTGCAGTTATGGTGCCAGTTAGCTGCACTGTCTCCCAACAGCATCTGTATCTTTCACCATTTTCTCCAGTTGCTGCCTCTGGCAGATGCCCATTCCTAATAGTCAGTTCTTCAGTGCTGGTGGGCCTGAAGACCTCCATAAGTACCTTCAAGAAACAGTTTCCATCTGGCATTGTATCCCAGAATACACAACTGCTACTGTAACCTGTATTTATATCTTTCCTTTCTACCAAGCTTATTTCCCCTTCATTTTTCTACATGCGTCTTTGTCATCACCGAACTGGTGCGTTACATGCAGTGTTGTTCTGATTTCTTTTTCTCTTCAAGATCTGTGAGGTGGTATGTGGTTATTGATCACGCTGAGATTTTGGTATGTGGCTATTATGTAGGCTAAGAAGACTGGCCTTCTTTGCTTTAGTGGTATTCTACTGATTCCCAGAAGTATTTCATGAAGCTATGGGCATTAAGTTCAATGTTTTATTAAGAACATAGTAAGTTTTAAGTTTTGTGAAGAAAAGTATGCACTTTTTTTTTTGTTATCAAGTTCTACCTGAACTGTGCAGGCCAATACTCAGTTATTTTTAAACTCTGGTAGACTTGTTTATTTCTAGTAAGCATCTTTGATCCTTCAATTTAAATTGAATAAGTGGCAGAGAATCCCTTAGTTCCTTAAATCATCTGTTTCGATAGCTTGTTCTTTTAGCGCTTCACATTTATAGGTGTAGGTTTTCGTTTTCCCTTTCTCATAAGATCAGTTTGTCTAGATTAAACTCCTAGGCCTTAGATTATGATATGGCTTTGTTTGCAAATGTAGGAATCATTTATTTTTCATATGAAGTTATTGTATCTTGCTAACATTTGTAGACAGTTCTTTTATGGTATCACTTCCTCTTTGCACTTTAAGTGAGATTTACGCTCACTTTTTGAAATTAGGTTTTTGCAAGAGATATCAATAGATTATTAACTTATTACTCTGGAGAAAGATTATGCTTGATATTTGAATTTTTAATAATTTGATCTTGGCTGTGGCTATATTAGACTAGACTTGTATGGTGTTAATAAAGTAAGCAAACAAGAACAAATAAACCTTTCTTTTTATGTAGTTGTGCTGTTCATTTAGTAAGATAACTATCTTAGAAAGGTATTTGGTTAGTTAATAGAAGGGAAAGGTAGTTTTTTTTTTTTTTACCTTGCTATATTTCTGGTTAATGTATTATTTTAGTAGTTAAAAAGGGATTGTAAAACTGAATACTGCTTTATTCATTGCATATTAAAATATGCAATTATATAGAGTCTCTCTATATAATTTTCCTAGAGGAGCCCATCATTCCAACGATTCACTCTCTTCCCTCTCCGAAAGAAAAATCCCAATTACTTTTAATCTAGGCATTTGAGAGAGAACCTCGAAGGCATTTGGAAACTAAGCTGTGTTTCTCTTTTTAAGATACAATCCTCTTTTTTGCTTAAAATTGTATCAGTAGCTGCCTACATGAAATGTTTCATTTGTTGATGTCTTGTCTACCTTTAAAAAGTTTAACTTTGGTTAATTCTAAATTTCCCTTGAACTGTTTCAGGATCAATGTCCTATGTATACTTTCTGCTTAAAAATCTTACACTGCTCGTATTTCCTCCTGCCAGGGAGTTTTCTTTGCTGAAATCAGAAATTATAATATATGAAGGCTTCATTACTGAATAAATCTGCATGCAATGAAATTCAAATGTGTGGTGAATTCCATTAAGAAAATGTTTAATTAGAGAATAATCTGCTGATTGTATAATAATCTGCTCATCTCACACAAAATTATAAGGGAGTATACAAAGGGAAAATCACACAGATTACTTGGAGGAATCCATAGAGATATACAATTAGGCTTTTATGGAAGCAGTAGTAAAGCTGAAGGTATGGATGTAAGAATAAAAAAGACTTGTGATTATGTTTGCTTATTTTCTATAATCCATATAAATAGAAATTAAGAAAGAAAAAAAGGAGTAACTTTACACAATAATGAACATACATTCAGCGTACATACAGAATACTACAAAATGTATGTCTGCATTCTAGAAAAGGCATTAGAAAAGGAAGTGGCTAAAAGTGTGACTTGACATTGACTCATGCTGCAAGGAATATAATATTGGAAAAGAACAAATTTGTGCAATTCCTTATGGACTGCATCTGTTACCTATTTTAGGTAAAGATGATGTTGTGATATGACTGTTCCAAATATAATGGATTCTAATGGAAGTTGGGTTACAAAGTAGATAATAGTAGATAATGATCAGAATAATGTGCAGGTATAATTTTACTTGTGATACCAGACTGGTAGAGTAGGCCTGAGTATAATGACACCAAGTGGAAAGAATTAATAATAAGAACTTCTGTTTATAGGATGGGAACTCATCAATTTGAAGAGGTATACGTGCAGAAAGATTTGGAGCTTTCATGATTGAGGACTGCTAAATAAAGTGGCCATGAAAAAGACAAATCCAGGCCTGGGATGCATCAGACAGAGGAAGTCCAAGAGAGAAATGCAAGTATTTGTTTCATGCGAGATACTGGCAGTATCTTATTTGTTGTGTATACAGTTCTGATTCCATATATTATGAAAAGACTTAATCTGAATGGGAGCTTGTCCAAGACATGGAAAATTTGTAAATCTCCTGTGGTGAAGTGCTTGTCCTATTCAAAATAGCACATAAATCTGAGAAAGATTATGGCTGCTTTCTGTAGATGCACTTTTGGGTACAGAATAAACACAGACTAAGCTCTCTAATCAAAATTTATACTCGTGCAAGAAAACAAGTATAGATTCACAATGTATAAATTTAGTTAGAAAATTAAAGAAGCTCTTTAAGCATTCTAAGTAGGAGTTTTGCACCAGTATTCCAGTAGTGAATGGGGTAAGGAAAACCAGTTGTGGGTGTGGTTTTTTGGTGTTTTGTTTTGTTTGTTTTTGAAACTTAATTGATGAACAGGCTTTTGTGGCCTGTAGTTACATGAAATATTAAGATGTAGATTTTGACTGAAAAAGTCTTTTCTAAGCCCGTAATACTTGCTACCTATTTGCTTATTTGTATCAAAAACTAGCATCATTTTCATCTTAAAATAATTATTACTTGAGTGTCCAGTCCTTTGTCAGAGGCTGTGCCATCACACGTAGTCACACGGGAGTTAGAATTTGCAGTTTTTTTCCTAAGAGCTGAGCAGTGTGCTTGACTTAGAGTAGAGTGCTTTCCAAAGGAGATAATTTAGTTGGTGGAATTGTGTATTAAGTGAAATTAACAATGATGAGAGAGTACAATCTAAGTCGCATGTAGAGAAAATGTATCATGCTTTTTGAATGTTTCACGTTTAGTGATCAAAAAGTCAATGTTATACCCCTTAATAGTGGAGTGAGTTTCATATTTCATACTGTGAAAAATAATTGTAGATAATGTATATGTTATTAAATATAAATGCTGTATGTATTAGCTATAATGATGTGAGAATTCTGCTTCATGAATGGCTTTTTCTTTCTTTTCAGCTTATGCAAGGTACACTTGAATAGAGTGGATAGTTGAGCCAAAAGTGCTCGGTTAGCTTGCTTAGAACCAAGTTTGAAATATCTTAAACTACATTGCCAAGAAAAACGTAATGCTTTTCTGGGGCCATAATTCTGGCCAGCAAGCAAAAACAAGCAGGAAATCTCCACTCTCTCACTGAATTTGTTATTAAAAGCATGTTGCAAGTAGTAAGCTAACAAAGACCTTATTTAAATCATGGAAGTTTCTAATGTTAAGTATGTCCTTAATCTGTAAATAACCAGAAGACATTAATGAAAAAAGATATACTATGCACCCATAGTTAATCCTTTTGCTGTAACAAAAGTACTTAGACTTGTATGCATGTTTTCCTTCTGATGATTATGGAGATACACACCAGTCTCTCATTTTTAACAGAAATCAGTTTAAGTAAGTTTGCATTCTCTTTACCGTTTCCTCTGGGTCGTTTTGTAAACACTGCATTCACTCCTGGGAAGTAGTGGTTTTTAGAAAAACCTTTCCTTCTAGTTTGACCACAAAACATTTTCTATACTTACAATGAATTGTGGCTTACATGTGTAGTATGAACAATATGATTTTTAAGACATTAAAGGAGACACTTATTCTTAGGTAAATATTCTATCTTCTTTTTAATGGAGTCTAAATAAATTTGTGACTCTAACAGGTTTTTTTTTTTATGATGTGCATTTAGCAGTAAATAAATTTTAATGTGACTTTTTTTCTTACAGCTTTCATTTCCTATCAACTGGTGCATTAATGAATGTGTTTTCCTAATGATTTATAATAATAAATACTTATCAAAACTTTTTTGCTTCATTAAATGCTGATACGCTTTATGTTGGCTTCTTATAATAAAGTTACATGATTAAATTAAACCTTAGAAATAGCTTACTGTAGGTGATACTTTACTTTCAGTTTAACATTCACTTTAAGTTTTTGTGGTGTAAATGTAAGCATAGCCATTTACCACTTAGAACTTTAACTTCAGTCCACAGGGGCTTTATAATTTAACTGCTCCTGCAGGTAGCTGATTTGACTCTAAGCTTGCTTTGCTCCTCATTGAGTTCTGAGTATGGCTTGTATTCTTTTATTATTATTATTTTATTCTACAAGTTTTAAAAAAATAATATAATATAAAGCTATCTTAGAGATCTTTAGAAGATGGCTTGCTGTTAAAACATGGAATTCTGACCTTGCTTTCAAAGAAAACATGTCAGGTCATACTTCATATTGTAAAAAAAGCATGGAAAGGCCTGAGAGATGTACTACCGATCTTTTCCATTTCCATCCTGCATGCCATCTTACTAGTCTTAAGTGGAATTCTCATCTCTCTTTCAAACCTATAAAACAGAAGCTCTCCTACAAAATACCATAGAAAATTTTCAGCACTTTAAATTAATTTTTACCTTTGATTTTTTGCTACGTGGAAGTAAGTCTCAGTGCGTATCTCTTGGATTGAATGAACTTGGAAGTTATTGGGAAATCTTTTCTCTAAACTTGAAATGGAATTGAAACAGCAGAAAAAGCTGAATGGAAGGAAAAAAAAAATTAAGGTGAAGGAATGATTACACAGAAGAATAATTTGGGAGAATGTGGGTGTGGATAGCATCTCAGAGAAAATTTGGTAGATTTACAAATCTGAGAATTGGAAATAAAGGTAATTTTGAAAATTGAATATAAATGGCATAAGGATAAAAAGGTGGGAGAAATGCTTGTGAACACTTCGGATGTTTCTCTTGATTAAACTTTAGACTGTTCTGGTTCAGTTATTTAATGATAGTTTACCAAGTAGAAAATGAGTTGAGATGATTTTGCATTTTTTTTTACTGGATGCAGTGTTTTTAGATGAGAGATGGCACTTTTTAGGCAATTTCATACTTGTGTTCATATTACTTGTCAAAATGGTTTGGGTAGTTTTAACACAGAAGAGACATCATTTTAAAAATTAAAAATTTAAAAAGTTTTTGAGCTCAAGATAGATTTTCAAGTGTGTGAGTATAACAGTGCCACATGGGCTTGCTTGAAATCTCTCCTCTTTCTTTTTAAGAGTTTATTGTTTTCTTTGGCAAATGCAGTGGACAGGTGTGGAGAGAAACTGTGTTTGTCTGAATTTTGGCCTTAATTTTAAATGGGCATTTCAGGGGCCATGAAAGGAAGATAGATTGTGTGTCTAGAAACTGTTCATAACAGTCTTTGCCATGCTTAATTTGTGATACAACTGACCTTAGGCCAAAGTACTTAGCAATAGTAAAATATTTTGTTCAAATGGCTATGGTTGTTTAGTTATAGGATAGTATTTATGATAAGATAATGTAAAAGAGAAATCATGAAATTGGGGAAAAAATGGAGGTGAAATTATAATTGAGTAAAAACTCTTTGGTGGTGATAAATGAGGTTGCCAATGGAACATTCCATGGTTTACCATGGAATTTAAAAAAAAAATATTTTCAGGTCTGAAATGACAGAACTGATAAATATTTTTGCTATAGAAAGCAGTCTTATATATGTATGAATATGTGTGTGTGTGTATGCGTGTGTATATATAAGTATGGGTGTGTGTGTATATGTATGTATATATGTACTCCTATATAAAGTTACGTTTCTTCTGGTCATTTACAGACCAGAATTGCGCATTGTTTACGTGATTTGTTCTTCAACTCAGTGGAAAGTTAGAAGTGCTTTTCTTTTCTGACTTGTCGGAAAGTAATAACATTTTTGACCATCTACTGAATGTTAATGATAACACATCTAGCTTAATAGCAATCAAATACATTGTTATGTATCAGAATTATAATTTCAGATTTTTTTAAATTCTTTCCACAGAATATAATCCAAGAACAATACAATGTTAATTCTCTCTATGTTCAACTCCATAAGGATCTTCGCTAAGGAGTTGCAGTGAGACAAACGCTGAGAAACATTTTTCTTCAGTACAATGTGGTGAAGTGGAGGAACTGAAATTATCCACTTCTGTACAGGCTAAGGACTTAAAATGTGTGTTGCTTTGTGAACAGAAGCAGTTCTGGAGTGAACTGAGCATCTGAAAATGCGGCCATGGACTGGTTCCTGGCGTTGGATTATGCTCATCCTCTTTGCTTGGGGAACTTTACTCTTCTATATTGGTGGACACCTGGTACGAGACAGTGAGCACCCAGATCATTCTAGTCGCGAATTGTCCAAGATACTTGCTAAACTTGAACGTTTAAAGCAACAGAATGAAGACTTAAGGCGGATGGCAGAATCTCTCAGGTAGGATCTAAAGACAAAATTATTAAAAAAAAAAAAATCAGATTTAAATTTTGTTTTAAGCTTCAAATTTAGCATATTTAAAAACGTGGAAGTATTTGAGCCAGTGCTTTAATGGAAAATGTGCCAAAACATTTAAAGAAGTTAAATAATATTGTGCATGTTGTTTTGCTTTAATTTAAAGTTATTTGTCTGAGTGCTGCTGCCACTATAACAGAGTTCTGTACGTGACTGACTCCTCACTGTTGACTTCAAACAGCTGCAATTGTTGTGATGTTTGAACCAATTAGAAAAGCTAGTGACTTTTGTACATTTGTGTGAAGTGACTGAAAGCTTTCATTTTAAAATGGTGAAAATTTGTACACCTTGTTGAAGGTATGTGTGAACTTGTTGAAGATGAACTGCTTATCACTAATTTTTTTCTTTACTTTGCTGCTAAACCAGTAATGGTACTTATAGAATTGTGTGATCATTTCTCTTTTCCTTATTATTTGTTGCATTATGAATTGGAACTATTACAGTTCAAAATGTTTTCTTTCATCTTTTCAGACAGAGTGCTCTTGATATAGGTATCTCTTCTTATATCTCTGCATTGTTTTCCCAAAAACTTGTAAAAGGAAGAACTTATTAGGGTAGATGTGATGCCACACTCAGATTGCATCTAGATGGCATGAACGTCGCTGCACACAACCTTAAAAGCTTTACTTAATTGCGGGGACAAGTGTGGAGGCAAAAC